TTTTTTTACACGATTTAAATCGTATCCTTAAGATATTGCACAAAAATTTGTCAAAATTTGTGTACGATTTAACATGTTTGTTTATCAATTTGTTTAACTTTAATGTCCTTGTATTATCGTAACTTGCCATGCTTGAACGTGGTTCCAAAATGCATTGTCTAATAAAATAATTTTGTAGTTTGCCAATTCAAACAGTGGATGCAAAATTCACCATATTTCGAGCAAGTTAAATACCAAAATTCACCATAATTCGAGCAAAATTCACCATAAATTTATTTTTCACATTTTTCCAAACCATTTTTTTAACCATTTTATTTTTCAAAACTACTTTTCAACCACATATGAATACACGTTCACTGACTTTGAGCCAAAAAGTCGCAGAAACGATCCCATTCATTTCGTTGCGTTTCTGGAGCATTCAATTCAACAGCGGCTTGCTCCTGTTCATCTGGAAGTTCTACCTCTGCCGCGTCCGGATCTGTCTCCACCCTTGTGAACGCTTCGTCGACAACTCCTGCCCGTCAAAGGAAGTTGTGTATACCCATCGTGGCTAGGACAACAGCAGTTTGCATTTTGAAATTATAACTGGGCATACGATCGAGTATTTTCCACCGAACTTTCCACACACCAAAGGCACGCTCGATAACGTTTCTACACGACAAATGCCTGAAATTAAATCTCTCACGTGCATTGCGAAAGTTTCGTCTACGACCCGTCTCACCGTCATAGAACTGCTGAAAATGATACAGTATATCAGAACCCTTGTATGGAGCCATGTACCCAGGTCTATGGGCGAATCCTGAGTCGACAAGATAAAATTTTCCCTGGGCAGGATGGGGAAAATCAATTTCAGGACTATGTATAGACCGAGCCAACATGCGTGAATCATGCGTTGTTCTCGTCCACCCTGCATGCACAAATGTGAAACATAAATTAAAATCACATGCTGCCAGAACATTTTGTGTTGGAATGCCCTTGCGTCCGATGAAATTTACTCGTTCGTCCCGCGGCAAGATAGCTTGCACGTGCGTTCTGTCAATTGCACCTATGCAATTCTCGAATAGCGGATGCTGGTTCAAATTTGGTACGTGATGCTCCGCACCGTGATTATAGTTTGGATTAGGTCTGATGAGGCGTATAGCAAATTCACATGCGGCATCAAGCACAATTTTGAAATAGTGCCCAATAGTTTGCAAAGAATGATTGAACAAAGTTCGAACCTGTCTGTAGCCCTTTCCATGGGCTAATATGCATAAAAACATTCCAACTTGTTCATATACATCAACTTGCTGGCCACTACGCAGTCCATATTCGTCACAGAGTATATGAGTGAACGTACGCAGCATGGCAGGATACATCTTGAATTCTGCATAACACTATTCGGGATTACATTGCATGGCGTCTAGCATAAACATGTGTCCGTTCCTTGCGAAGGGAAATCTTCTAATTCGACGTCTCTATTCGCGATAGTAAGTTGCCACATCTATAGAGGACATTCTGCAGTAGCGAAACCACTCGATGATGTCCTCTTCGAGCTCTTGCAGAAGTTCCTCCTCCCCGATCTCATCTTCACATTCAGAGGACGGCAGAAGCACACAGTTGAAATTGAAATTCGCCATTTTCACTTAGTAATTGCAAAAGAAGCACTGAAAAAAAAACCCAAGCTACGTTCCTTGGAAGTTCAAGTTTTTGTGAGAATGGAAGGGATTGGTTGCACTCTCTCTTTAATAGACGTTGCTCCACAAATTACTGTCATTAGTACAAATTAAAATGGACATTGGCATGAAGAAAAGCTCATGAAAAAAAAAAAGATTCTTGACTCAATTGATGGTCAGTGTACCAACTGTGGGTCATTATTTGAATAGGACCCTTGGCATGAGTTAATGTTCAGGCACGTATAGTAATTGGCATGCAATGGCAACAAGTACATAATCTTTTGAAAGTGACATGAAATATTTCATTGCAGTTGTGGATTCGTGAGATCACTTAGTAGTAAAGTCCCATTTTTGTTCACATAGACATGCCGAAATGAAAATGAAAAAACAACACACAATTAAAAATGTCTACATAAAACTGCTGTAAGGGGAAAATTTTCCGTGCCGCAGATTTCACTTCGGATGAGCCTTTCTGTGCTCCAACCAGCTCTTTGTCGTTCGCGTCTTCCTGCATTGCAATTATCTCCCTATTACGCCTCAGTGACAGGAAGCTCAACGTCCAGAAGTACATATCAGTTTTCTTGTGCAGTCGGCCAGTCGACAACATCTCGTTCATGAGCGTCTGCGCGTCTGGAACATTAGGACCCAGCAAATTGTTGATTGTAGCTGCTACCTTTTCACTGGCAGTGGAAGCACGGTTAACAGCGTCCGATACATCCGAGGCGGGCATTTTTGCTCTCTTACCTTTTTTGCTATTGCCGCCAGACCTACGGTTATCCCCACTTTGCGGCCTCGACATGTCCGCACTGGATCCAGCCAATTCTGTTTTCTCGCTCTCATCACTTGATCCGGTGCCTTCCTCGTCAAGCGGTTGACTGTCGCGTAGGTCCTCGAGTCCACTATCTTCGAACATGGAGAAGCCTGTCCTGCACATTGTTGAGGGTGTGACTGCATACTTATCGTTGTCATATGCATCCTCGAATAGCACCTTGAGGCTGTACACCTCCCTGCAGTCTTTGCCTTTGAATTCTTTGTAGTCCTTATTTTCCTGTTACACATGCAGAAGAAGTTGAACATCAGAATGCTTCAAAACAGCAATGGTTTCAACATAGCATAGAAACTTGTGTAGTCAAAATTTGAAAAATAAACTGTGTTGTGCATATCGAAAGTAATAGTTAGTAAGTCACCTTGAGTGTTGGAAGAAACAGAGCCCCATGCCTCAAAGCCATTCAATAGTCACTTGAAATTGAAATTACAAGTATGAGGAGACAAATCAATAGTTTTTCATGTTTTTAGATGAAATGGTCATTTAAGCTTCTAGACAGATTTCCCAAGAAGTTGGTGATTTATAATAAAGAAACGTCATCCCATGTGTATACAGTCGAATCTTAAGAATAAAATTGGCTATTTTCCTGACCTTATGAGGCGATCGATTCTCTTTTTTTCCCTCTTGAATGTGCTATTTATCCCGTATGGGGCCAATATATTTAGGATTTCTGACTGTAAACACAGCCTAATTACACAACATTTCTAGTGAAACTCACCTAATTACTCCAAAGTCTTGGATCTGGGTTACTGATATATATTGAACACAGACGACAATATTTACGAGGGCCAAACACGCATAAGGACAGCATAGCATGTCTCCTTCTTCAAGATCTAACAGTTTTACTTTTTTCGCACCATTTTCATGATTAAATTCCAATCATTGAACCTAAAAATTTAAGAAAATCCCTTGGCAAGTTTATGCAAAAAGAATGAATATCAGGATCCTGAGAACTATGAAGATGCTGACTGGGGAGGGTCCATAGTGAATAGAAAATCAATAGCAGGACATTGCACGAGTTTCCCAGTTTGAAAGCAATTCAATTTGTAAAATGCAAAAAATGACCATATTAAGCAGTGTACCTTTATCTTTCTCTCCCACCAGTCGTCGGAAGCAGCAATATATCCCGTTTTGGAGATGTACTCCACTCCAGTACTGTGAATAAGCTCCATCAGACGTTTGTGTTTCGTTCGAAGACCATCCCAATGATTCTTCAGCTGCTACTTCGTCCAACAGTGACCGGAGTTCGAATTGAACAAACGGATGAGTTGGTCCCATCCGTGTTTCGTGAAGCACTTTCCGTTACGGTGACCGTCGGCTATCACCGTCTCGCACGCGGCAATGAAAATCCGGTTCTCATGTGGATTCCATTGGGCGTGCTTGCGCGTTGGTGGTACTGGTTGGGTCATGCTGGGAAAAGGGTTGGAGGTGGACGAATTTACGTTTCCACCCGTCTGCAACAAGAAACGGCGAAGATGAGTTCGTTAAATAAGTTGGGTTCAGTTCAAAATTGTGTGTTCTGTAGGTGCAACAAAAAATTTGGAACTGAAAACACTTACTGAGGGGACATATGGGTCCATGTTGTGAGCTCACAAGCTGTATTCCGGCAAGCAGGTTCGTCGTCGTCTACCGCCTAACACGAGTCCGTATTTGACGGGGAAAAAAACTCTCAGACAATAGGATTTGACGGGGAAAAAATTCCTTCTTTGTGCTGCCAGAGTGCTAATTGAAGGAAAAAAATATTTACAACTAGATCTGGAAGTTCATCGTCGGGTGTTTGTAGGGAGAGAAATATGCGAAATGTGAGGTGCCGGTGCAAGGAAAAGGGGGAGAGAATCTTGGCAGTTGAGAGTGTGTAATGACGGGGGTAATATTGGAAAAATGAGAGTAAATGGCCTGTTGTTGTACTGCAAAGATGTCAGAATATTTCCATTAAAAAATTGTCCAACGATGCAATTTTTGATCAGCAATGGTCCAAATTTAGCTTAAAATCACAGCCAGACAGGGCCAAAATCATAATCTAACCTCACCACACCTTCGCCCACCCTCGGCCCCACTCCCAATCTCATTTATCCCAAAAGGATTTTACCTCATGTACAGGGGGTACTCACAGCTGACGGGTCCCATGCGGGACCCACCTGTATAAAAAATTGTCAAAATCCCCACCCACCCCCCACTCATGTTGTGAGCACTTGTAGGAGTTCTGTGAAAAAAACTCATGTACCTCAAGTAAGTTCCATCCCAAAATCATATTCATTTTTACCCTCATCCTCACTCTCTTCCTTCTCTCTAACTTCTCGCTCTACCCACTAATCCGTCCACCCCGCCATCTTCGACAGCATGGAGAACTTTGCCACGCCGACGATGCCATCGTTGTTGAAAGCGGCGACTCCCTGTTGTGGTGGTGGTAATTTTGGAGATGGTTGTATAGATGCGGTGGTGCTCGTAGTGGTTGTGGGAGTGTGATGATTTTCTGATATGTGGTTCGTTGGCTCTGGTGGCGATGACGACAGCGACGACGGCTCTATTGGTCGTGGTCGCAGTGTTTGGGTGCAGTAGTGACTATGTCGTGGTGGTGGCTCTATTTAAGAGCTTACCTGACTTCTCTTTGTGTATACCAATTATTTTCAGAAATTATGCATACCCTTTTGATTTTTTGTTTATGTGTTTATGTAATCTGTATGTATAGATCTGAAGTTGGGTGTTTTTGTTTGTAGTTTAGGCTTTGGATTTGTGAATAATAAGGCATTACGTATTGAAGTTTTATTAGAATAATTTACACTAGAAGCAGTGAAGAAAAAATATTATCTCCATTCTGTAAGTTTAATGGAATAGTTTACAGTTGGAGTAGTGAAGGAAAATATCATTTCCATTTTGTTATTCTGTTAGAATTGTTTACACTTAGAGCAGTGAATGAAAAATATTATCTCCATTCTGTAATTTTGATAGAATAGTTTACACTAAGAGCAGATGAGAAAAATATTATCTTCATTTTTTATTTTTTAAAAAGAATAGTTTACAGTTTGAATTAAGTTATTAACCATGTTTTTGTTAGTTAATTTAATGGATTTGGCTATACGTGTGATGGCGAGGCTTAATGCGACGAGTGAAAATGACAATAGGGCAGAAAATCAACCAAATTAAATCCAAAATGGTTGATGAATAGACTAGTGTTTTAGAATAAACACTAGTTTGTGACCTTGTAAACAAATTGTATTGTGACTTTGTATAATTTATGACTAGTATGTGATTCGATTGTTGGTCATTACGTACATGTAGATGAATTTTTTCACCTTTTTAATACTACGAATGATGGATGTTACGTTAATGTGGATAACATCTGTGTATTATGATTGCTATTTAATTTAGGTTAATTTTTTTCAGATATAATTTGTGATAACATATTATAGTTAGACAACAGATCATATCCAATACATTGCTAGTCACAATAGATCACAATTAACACACTTGGTCACAAAAGGTCATAGTCAACATATTAATGGGTTAAAAACTTTTTAAAAATGAGTTGCAATGAATAATTGTGGATAAATAATTTGATAATTTGCAATGACTAAATGAGTTGTGATTAATAAAAATTTTGATTTTTTGAGTGATGAATAGTCCGTGACCTATAAAAATTTTGATTTGTGATTAATACATAATCTGTGACCCATAAAATTTTTGATTCGTGACTGAGTTAAGGTCAAGATTCACTAGTCACGGGTTTGAGTTCACAAGTCACAGTCATTTCTTATAAGTCACAAATATTTATAAACGGGTCGCAAATCAATATTAACAGATCACATGTCGTTTTGTAGAAGTCATGGATCAAATTTATAGGTCACATTCTATATTACGAGTCACGATTAACAAAGCATAGGTTGAAAATCATATTTTATATATCACAATGTACACAAGCCACATGTTTTTTGCCCAAAAAAAATTTGTGAATTTAATATATTTAATTACAAAAGTATTTTTTTTGATTAATGATTTCATAACTAAAATTTTAATATTATTTATTTTTTGAAATTTCAAACTTTATTTCTTAATTTTGAAATTGATCACATGCATATTCATCCCACCTGATTAGACCACAGATTCAATAAAATTGATCACAGATCACAATGTGCACAAGTCACATATATAATGCAACTGGTTACAGGTCATTACCAAAAAAGAAGAGAAAAAGAAAAAAGGTAGTCAACGAAAAAGTGAGTGGTCGTCGGAATATTCGCCGGAACGGGATAAGTTGCCGGAGCCGTCGTCGGAGAAGCCGTCGAAGCCGTCGTCGGAGGTGATGTTGGATGGAGAGAGAGAGAAGGGTTTAATGTGATGGGTGGATGGGCTGGAGGTGGGGTAGGATAAGTAGATTAATTATACTCTATTATAATTAAATGTTAAATAAATTTAATTATCATCTTATTTTTAAAAGATTTTTAGAAGTTTGTTAGTTTTAAAATGTGAATTTTAAATGAAGGATTCATGTGATGTTCCCTTAAAATATTTCAACATTTTTTTTGTAGCCCAGTGCTGCCCTCCCCTCAATCTGTCACTGGCTAGGTAGCTACAGCGGATTTGATTTTACAGGACAAATATAAAAATACTTCTGTGGCACTCATCACATTTGATTTCTGTGGGGAAATCCGAAATATGGACAATCTTTTGAATTTGTGATGCCTATAGGTGCAAAATGAGTTACTCTGGGATGCAATGAAGATGACTCTACAACATCATTTATTTAACAACCACTTTAGATTTTAATGGAATTAAAATATATCATTTCATAAATACCTATTCTTTTTACCAGATTATCCAATCAAAAACTTATCCGAAATCACATCAAGATAGAAATAAAATAACAAATGTAGAGTATAAACACAAACCCAAATTGCTGAAATTTCTGCAATAATGCCTTATTGGAATAACTAATGAAGGTTTAAGTGTCAAGTTAGAAAGACAGATTATGAGTTCGTACTTGAATCTAACATGTCACATATATAAAAACCATTTTGGAGCACTCATATAATTCGACATGCTTCTCATGACAATGCAAGTAGTTTAGCATTTAGGCCCTTTATGAATGCATGTGCATGTGTATCTATCCCTGCAAATAACAACTTTGTAATGTTCAGCCTCTATTAAACAAACAGAATAATATAAAAACTTGGAAAATTGATTGCACAAAAGGGTGCCCTCTATTCTTTTCACTTTGCATGGATCTACAATCTTCTATAATTGCTAGGTAGCTAGAGGGTAATTGTTTTTACAGGACAAACAGAACCATGAAATCAGAGGTAGGAAACAACTAATAGGTGCAAAATGAGTTACGCTGGGATGCAATGAAGATGACTACAATGTCATTTAGTTTATTTTCTGTTTCAATTCAGTTGCATAATATATTAAATTATACAAGCTAACTATACAATAAATTAGGAACTTGCAAACTTATTTACATCTTCCTTTTCATATTTAGACGTACTTCTACTTATCACTCAGCGCAGTTAATTATGAACTCTTTTAACAATTAGATACGAATGTTGTATAGCTTAAAATAAAATTGGGAGAGACTATATTAGTTCTGTTACTTTTTCACTTCCAAGATTAGCAATTTGAAATAATGGAAACCAGCTCCAATTCCCAACTGCAGCAATAAAACATTAAAAGGCCTCAAAACAAATCCGAAAATGATTATAGAAAAACTAAGGATGGGTTTGGTTTGCTATTTTCAGCTTTGTAAAACAATGAAAACATGTTTGGTTTGATATTTCTAAAAATGTATTTTTGAAAACAAGATTAAACTTATAACATAAAACTCAAAAAGCATTTTAAGTGTTTTGAGCACTTTCAGTGAAAATTATGAAAAGATTCAAATTCAAAACATGGAAAACAATAAAAATTAAAAATTTTAAAAATAAAAAATAAAATATAAATAAAATTAAAAAATAAAATCTAAAATTCTAAAAAATAAAATCCTGAAAAAATAAAATTATAAAAAATTATAAAAAATAAAAATAGTTCAAGCCCTTAATGGTTATTTATATAAAAATTCTAAAAAATATTTAAATGAACACGACATCTAATTTTCTACTTTTTGAACTTAATTTATTTTTTATTTTTATTTTACTTTTGTAGGTAAAAAAATATTGTAATATTCACCAACTTTAAAATGTATATATTGCTTGATAATATATTAACATAAAATTGTTGTATTTTTATTAAATGGTCAGATTTTGTGGAATATAATGATATAAAATAAATTTTCTAAATTTCAATACAAAAATGTATTCTAGTATTCTGTTTTGAGAAATAAATTTTCAAAATGACAAACCAAACGCATTTATTAGCAATCTTAAAATAGACCCTCAAAATAGAAAATTGAAAATGAACTCAAATAACACAAACCAAATGGGCTCTAAATTTGTTGTTCCTCAAAGAAAACAACAGTGTCACATTTCAAGTGACTTCCTATAGACAGAAGAAACCTATTTCCTATGTCTAGAAAATGAAGTGGACAGTGTAGAAAAGATATAAACTTTAGTGAACATTCCAAAACGTTCATTTACTAATAGATACAGAAAGTTCAGCAAGATAAAATGATCTAATTAAGGTTTAACTGATAAGAAAAATACAAAATATACAAAAAAATGGGTTAATCCTTTCAAAACCTTGCAGTTCAAGAAGCCTCATAAGGACAGAATTAAGCCATCTACAAGTAGTAAACACAGAGACAGGCTTCAATCCTTGAAGAAATATTGGTTTAGATTTCGGTATTTTAACTGCGGGTTTAGGACCACACCGGACCGTTTAATATTTAAAAACATGAGTTAATCCATCTATGAGTAGAAAGCACAGAGACAGATCCTTTAATCCTCCCAGCATTGACTAGACAGACAAACAGCCAATAAAGCTACTCAGATCGGAAGGAAAACCAAAACGGTGTG